TGAGCTATGGGCAACTCAGAGACATCTGACTGACAGACCAAAATCCTGATTTTTCCAGATGTCCATTAGCTGCTGATCTGTCCAAGAAATAAAGTCTTTGGGCAAAAGGACTTGTGGGAATACCTGCTGGAGGAGTTGGAGCCTCTCAGCTGTAGTGTGTGTACAGGAACAGGCCAGTGGTTTGTTTTACCAGCTCCAAGTCAGAAATGGACACAAGTTGAGAGAAAGATCTGCAATCTCCACCCCTTCCCTCTTAAGTTTTTGCTCTCAATCACCCTCCAGCTTGAACAGCTTGCTTTTCTGTTTTCTATTTCTATTTTTAAAAGAGTCAGCCCTTGGGCAACAAAGTAGAAATGGAAATCGCAAATATATTGGAGAAGAACACCTCCCTACTGAAGTTTGGGTACCATTTCACTCAGCAAGGTCCTCGGCTTCGCGCCTCCAATGCCATGATGAGTAACAACGACCTGGGTGAGTCAGGCTGGCCGAAAGCTGGGAAGTGTGGGAGGGTCCTGTGGGCAGTTCCTGGTGGGATTAGGGCAGAACTGCTCATGTTACAGATGCGTATGAATTAGAATGTGCCTCTTGAAGGGTCTGATGATGCTTTGCCCCTCGAGGAGGAAGGCAGCCTTCACCAACTGTAGCCAGGCAGTGTTTTTTGCAGTAACACTGGGTATTGTTGCAAAAGAGCAAGAGCTGCTGATGTGGTTCAGTAGAACTTCTGATACAGCATGTAGCACATGGGCCAGAAGCTTCTAGCATTTGTGATTCCTGCCAACTGCTTGTCTTCTTACAGCTTCATTCCCACTTTAACAAGATGAAAAACAGCAGAGTTGAACTTTGACAGCAGTTAAGATTTGGCCCATCCCTCAGCAAAACAAACTGGAACTGCTTCTAGGGATATGTGGGAAGCCACGTTGCTTTGAGCTATCTGTATACCCTCAATGAAGTGATTAGACATGCTTGTGCAGCAAAATGTGGGCAAGTCTGCAAACTGCCATTTCAGCCAAAGCATGTGACAGAGCTTTTCCATTGCTTGGCTACAAGCTGCTGTAGAGCACAGGAAATCAGGCCAGCAGAACAGTGCTGAATGCAGCTAACACACTCACCATGCTGTACTCAGCAGCTGTCATATCTAGGCAGATGATAAATTTGTTGTGTTTTGAAAACAAATGGAAAAAAACAATCTTCCTTCAGCCACTACTCTTCTCCTAAGAAGCACAGCCAAGCTATGTGCCAGTTCAAGGATCACACAAAATACTCAGTACCTGATCACTCGAGCACTGCACTGGGAAAGGATTGCTTTTTTTTGTCCTTTGGAACACAGCATGGTTTTAAATTACTCTGCAGCACTTGGCATGCAAAATAATCAGCTTGAAGATTTAGAGTCTAGTATTTTGATTGTTCTTGCTGTTAAGAGGATGAATTCACAACTTGTCTTCCATGTAAGAGTTGTATATTTTGCATCCTTGGCCACTAAGATCTGCATTTTTTGTCTGATTTGGTTCTTGTTTGCAGCTCATATTCATTGGTCTGAATGGTCTCTGGCAATAGCATCTCATCTCTACACCTGGACAATGTATAAGTAAAAAAACCTTTTATTTTTCTCCCTCTCAGCAATAGCTCTCTGCTTGTGCTCCACTCCACTCCAGCCTATCAACTGATGCTACCAGAACATGGTTTTGGTCCCATATCTTCTATTCCCTAAGATGCTCTGTGTGAACTGACTGAAGGCTTTTATGTTCATCAGCTAACTTCTGCATCCTCTCTGTACATTTTTGTTCTGTTTTTTTTTTTCCCCCACACCTTTCTTGGGAAGACAGGAGTGTACGTGTCAAGAGGTATAAATCAACTTTTAAATCTAGATATGAAACTATTTTGGCTATGTTAACCATGATCAGAGGACTGGGGCCCAATGGCTTAGAGTAAGAAGAGATTTTTGATTTATTTTTTTTAATTGAAAAAGCAGATCTTTAATTTGGAAAACTAGCAAAGGAAAAACTGTGACATCTATTTCCTGCTGTCTTCCCACCAGTCAGACGGTGAACTGGCCAAAGTCCAATTACAAAGACAAACTGTGAAATATAATTAACTACAGAATAAGGGAGGTAAGACTGAAAGTAGGTGCTGGCCTTAAAAATGCATAGGGAGAAAAACCTCATCTTCCTTGATTTTACTGTGTAAGGCTGTGCCTGCTGCTTAAGGCAGGGATTCAAAAGCTGATGCTATCCTGTTTCTTTCTTGGCAGAAAGTACATCTTTCAGCTCCTTTCTACAGCTGTTAAGGCAAGCCTGCCATCCACATTATCCTGTAGCCGTGACTGACTCCTCTTTCTATTGTTTTTCAGTGAGGAAGAGAAGACTTGCAGAGGTGAATGGGCCTATTTTTCCCAAGTGCAGAACTGGAGTGTAGTTCCTGGCTATGGAAATCATTCCCAGTGATCTGTGCTACACTGTGGAAATCTAAAGGCAATAAGTGCCTTGACAGAGTATTTGTGGTGCCTCTGTTCCTGTTTTATGCACTAACAGTTGAAATGAATTAGTGGCTGTAGTTTTTATGAAGATTTTATCCAGTACGACTGTTGATGTTTTCTGTAGAGTTGGAAACTATTCAAGCCAACGTGTCAATTTTATGCAAACTTAAACTGAGTACAATCCAGTGTTAAAGGGGATTAATTTTTCTATAAAATTCCTGCACGGTGTTTCATAGTTAGGATGTGGTATGCATGAATGAAAGATACAATTGTTTCACACAAATTAGAGAAGTATTAAAAAAATACTTTATTTTATTTTTCAAAGTTAATCTCAAGTAACTACAGAGGAGTAACTAGTTTAACAAGCACTTTTAACATCTGGAAACATGGCTAATTTCAAGAACTGTGAGTCACAATTTTTTGCCAACATTTGCTGAATCATTTGAAATGCTGCATCAAATGCATCCCAGTGTTTCTTAAAAAAAAAACCAAAAACAACCATCTCCACCCCCCAGTTAAATGAAATTTAAGGCCACCAAATATAAAACAGTCTTGAAAATCAAGTGGTTTAGATGGGTGAATATCCTTCAGTCCCATGCATGTGTGAAGAAAACAGTCATTCTTAGAGGTGTGATGCAAACCCTAACCCCCAGAGATGGCCAAATCAACCGGCAAATGAAAGCCTTCTCTTCTACTCCCCCACTCTTTTCACTTTCCTAGTGTTAAAAGTGTTTGTTCACACAGTTACTGAAGACAGATCAAATTCTCTCCCTTTGCTGTTTTTTCTAGATGACCATGTCCCTTAACTAAATTTTGTTCTGCTACACATTATTTTCTCTTTCTGGTGTCCCTTATGTCCACATAAATGCACGAATTAATGTTGTGCCCTAAAAAAGCTGTGAAGTGAAATACCCTAAATATGAACTTACACTACATACAGTCTCACAGCTTTTTATCATCATCCAGTATACTCATCATCCAGTCTGGGAGGAATTCACCACCACCTTGTGGATCTCCCAGACCTGCAGGAGACTGGACCCAGCACATCCAAAACTCCCACTGTTAATGTGGGTGGGATCCTGCTCCGTAAGTAGTCTCCATGGAAGAAGTATTGCTGTACTGAAACCTTAATCTTGGGCAGATGATACATCATAGAAAATGTTTCTTGCTAGAAGTCTTCATTTAAATGTCTGTTAAAGAGTGAAGTTTTTCAGCCTTTTACATACATTCTGGGAAAAGTCACAGAGATTTCTCCAGAGCTTGTGTCCAAACAACAGTGTTGATTTAGCTCTGACCAGTGAAGCAGAGGAACATTATTCAGCAATGTGGGAAACATACTCACTGCTCTCCAAATCTTAATAAATGTGCCTGTGGTGTCATATAAAATACCTCACCATAGCTTGTTTCCTCCACTGTGCAAGTTCTGTATCAGAAAATGAATGTGCAATAAAAATACTTGGAAAACATATGAAAATTAAAAAACCTGACAGACTTAAAAAAGTACTTCCTTCTATCTGCACCGTGAAGACTCTGAAATGACTGACTAAATCATCAAATTACACCTTCATGCTTTTACCTGAGCCATCTACTTGGATTTGCACAACAAAGGCTAAGCTCTCCCCTTGGTTTCAGAACATAAATGAATCTTATCCTGAAAAGCCCTGGTGGTACTAAGAAGCACAGACATGCAAGGAGATGCATCTGCAGACCAGGGAGCACTACCACACA